GTAAATATATCAAAACTTAATTTTTGATTAGTAATATGCATTGCTAAGAACTTCATTTGGACAAAGGTGATTTTCTCAATATTTAGATTTTTTTGCACCCTCAGATTCCAGATTTTCAAATAGTTGTATCTCTGCCAAATATTGTCCTAACAAACCATACATCAATGGAAAGCTTATTTATTCAGGTTTCAGATGCTGTGTAAGTAAAAAAATTGACTGGTTTTGTGGTCCAGGGTCACATATATTCAAATACAAAACAGCTATTTTAAATTGTACAAATATTTAGCTAAATTGCCATTTTTACTGTATTTGTGCTTGCCTTGCTGAGCATAAGAAACATCTTTCAACTTTTAAACAGCAGCATATGTAAATAAATAAATAATATATTTGTTGTCTAAACAAGTGCAGAATGTTTCAGTATTTTGTGACTGTTTTAAACATCAGTTCCTGTATCAGTGCTTGATTTGCGTAAGAGTCTGTATTTGGCATTTAGATTCACAATGCCTCTTCTGTGTTCAGGAGCTGGGTACGGAGTCTCTCGGCACCTGTACAGATTTCCAGGCCGTGCCGGGTTGTGGGATCAGGTGTCTGGTCAGTAACACAGAAAACCTGCTGAAGAGAGACGACAGCGACAGCGAGGAGAACCAGCGCAATGCCGTCTTGATCCAGATCGGCGACACCAGAGCGCTCAGCAGTGACCACCCGCTCATCATGGACCCGCAGCCGCTCGGTGAGTGTCACATGACCGCTTCTGCAGGATCCCATTGGCTGCATACTCGAAATGAAATACAAATCTGAAGGTTCTGAGAGTGTAATGGTGTGTAATTACATACCTCATGGAATCACTCAATCAGTGTTTCATTTGTGGAAGGATGTGATTAAAACGGCTTGTATGTCACGTAGCATTTCATTTACCTCATACTTTACCTGTTAGAGATGTCTTCATTATTTAATGTAGGCTATATTTAAATAAATCTTTTATGAAACAAGTTATGACAGCCACTGTGTAAATGATTATATTTCAACAGCAAATAGAAATTGTATAATTTAGAAGTTAATTCAAAAACGGCATTGAGTGCAATTTACATGTTTTTTAATTTGAGTGTTGATTATTATAGTTAAAAATAAATAGTAATTAAATTTAAGTTTGAGCTCTGTTGTTAATTGTAACCTTATAGTAGGCCTAATGTAAAAGGGCTCCCTATAGTTTAGAGCACACATATTTTTTTGGAAACTGCGATACTTTTTTCAGGATTCTTTGATGAATAGAAAGTTAAAAAGAACAGCATTTATTCAAAATATAAATCTTTTCTAACAATATAAATCTTTGCTATCACTTCTTATCAATTTAACACATCCTTGCTGAATAAAAGTTTACATTTCTTTCAAAAAAAAAAGAATAAAAATTTACTGACCCCAAACTTTTGAACGGTAGTGTATATTGTTAGAAAGGATTTCTATTTTAAATAAATGCTCTTCTTTTTAACTTTTTATTCATCAAAGAATCCTGAAGAAAAGTATCACAGGTTCCAAAAAAATATGAAGCAGCAACAGTTTCCAGATCTGATAATAAATCAGAATATTAGAATGATTTCTGAAGATCATGTGACACTGAAGACTGGAATAATGATGCTGGAAATTCAGCTTTGATCACAGGAATAAATTACATTTTAATGTATATTAAAATAGAAAAATGTTATTTTACATTGTAATAATATTTCACAATATTACATTTTTTCCTTTGTTTTGATCAAATAAATGCAGCATTGATGAGCATCCTGTAAAAAACGTTAAAAATCGTTCATACATATTTAACAATAAAATCAGTTCTAGTAGTTGCCTAGTTGTATTTTATTAGCATGGCTACAGAGATGCTGCTATCAATAAAAAAAAAATGTCAGTGTATATACAGTAGTAAAATGTAACGCACATTAATGCAGGATCAATACTCGTCCACCTCTGGATGGTGCTGTGAAACCAGACACTTTCCTGCGTATTTGGGACTTTCACAACAGGTACAAAGCGAGTTTTGTGGAAGAGTTTTCCTTCATTGACGAAATTTTTTAGCAGTGACGGAAAAATCTGAAGGCAGTCTTTCACTTTGACAGATTACACTGAGGGTGATCTATTGTAATTTATAACTGTAATTCCCACCCTGTCCAGTTGGTGGATAGAATTTCAAATCTGAGACGTTTTCATATCAAAAGTAACAACGCACAAAGCTTAGCCTATTGCGATTTATTGGATGGGAGGCGCACTATAGGCCTATGTACGGTTCATTCATCAACTGAAAACAGCGTCGATTGGGACTTAAGAATCGATATTGGTTCATAAAAATGAGAATCTATTAAAATCGAGAAATAGTTTTTTTTACCCAGCCCTAGCATTTTTGTTGTTTTTAGTGGCCTCTGCTGTCACTGCGGTGTGTGTTGTTGAATATGAGAAGTACTCACAGTCTCTGTTCATCAGTTCTCATCATAAATAAATAAATAAATGCATAAGCCTATATGCTTGTCCTGTAGGTTCATTATTAAAAATGAAAATGTGAACAAAAATACAAGCAATTAAAGGTGTTATTATAATTAATTTAATAATTAATATAATTTATGCATTTAGCAGACGCTATACATATACTCAGGCTATACATTTTTTACCAGTAAGTGTGTATTTTTCATAATTCAAATATGAAAATTAAAATGACGGCTAATAATAGATTATGACGGAATTTTTACGACCCTGTCCGCCAAAAAGACGGACAATGTTAAAGTGCCCCTATTATGGGTAATGAAAGGTTCATATTTTGGTTTTGAGAGTCCCCAACAACAGGTTGACGTGCATGCAAGGTCAAAAAAGACTTTCATTGTCTTATAATATGCATTTATTTTTACCTTATTTGCTCAACGACTCCCAAATGATTCCCTCAACGATTCATTTTTCCAAACTCCTCCTTTGCGTGACGCTAATCTGCGGTGATTGGTCGGATTGGTCTCATTTTCATTTCATCTCACCTGTAACGCCTGATAAAGCAGCGTTTGTGAGCGCAGTGCTACTTTGTGTACAGCGTTACCGGGGAAACCGCTATTTATAAAACGGATAGTTCCGGTCGTTGATTCTGATTGGTTGAGCCAAGTTCGAAGCTGTTGTTAATCACTCTACAAACATACACCTTTGTTTACGTTTGTCTGTTGTTTTATTTGCTCTGTTTTATTTTGTGAAACCTTATTACGTGTATGGAATAACCGTTTTATAAAAGCAATCCGCTTCGCCTGGTGCCTAACAACCCCTTAGCTGTTATAAATTCACTGTAAACCACGGCTTCTTGGGGCTTATTGCTTTATTTTACCGCTCCAAAAGCGGCACCTAGTGGCATAGAATGAATTTGCATTTTCATTCAGACCAAGGCGAAAAGACCAACAAGTGGGTGGGCAATATGCTAATGTTTCATGTTGACGTCAACATGAAACGCTTGGAATTCGTTTTAAAAACGACTCTTTTGAAAGACAATAACTTTATACATGGTGCACTTTCAGATTTAAAACTTTGCAGGATGTTTTCATTCACTTAGAGCTGTGTTACACACCGCATGAAAGGTAATTTAACAAAATCCATAATAGGGGCACTTTAAAATCTAATGCAACCTCTGGTGTGAACACACCATGCTTGTGTTTGCGGTTTCAGCTGTAGTCCAGACGGCCTCGTTCACCGTGCTGATAGGGAACAGAGAGTGGATGAGGAGGAACGCGCTGCAGGTGCGAGCAGATGTGGATGAAGCCATGACGGAGCACGAGAAGAGAGGACGCACTGCAGTGCTGGTGGCTGTGGACAGTGAGTGAGACTCTGATTTCAGACACACTTTGATCACTAGGAATTTCCATATGAAACATCAGACAAGAGTTTGATTGTAAAAGTATTGTAAAAATATTTCTGACCTCGGTAGATTTTTCTTTCGGTAACTAATGATGCATTTAGTTCTAGGGCTGCCTCTGACTAAAAATGTGACCCGTGCTTGCAAAATGAGTCCTGAATGCATTATTTGCCATTCAAATAATTTAAGCACAGGCACACTTTTTAAGCAAAACCCTTCACAAAACGGAAATTAATTTATACATCCACTAAAATTTACATCAGTTGTTTAAAGGTCATTTAAAAAAATGCAAGAAAAGGGAATAATTTGCATCAAACAATTCACTTGCATCATTTGTTTGCAGATGACACTTGCTGTGATATGTGACCCGTGCTTGCAAAATGAGTCGGAATGAGCAAATTTTCAAAAATTAGTTCTTCATTAAAATACCTTCAAAATGACATATGACTTGTTGGAATCGGACGGAAAACGACTGAGCTACAGCCCATTAATCACAATATAGCTATTTTTTATTTTATCTTTGTTATTAAAAATAAGAACAAAGATGCAAATAAACAGTAGTTTAATCAAGAGCAGCGAGTGACTCCATATTTTCTTTTAATGTATGATTAACATTGAGACCTACCTTAATGCATGGATCTAATATAATGTCACACATCAGATTTTTCCCCAACCATTAACTAAACGCTCATTTAAGACATTATAGATTATTGTGTGAATCTCGTCAAGACATATTTCGCAATAATGTACTTATCACGCACTCCCGGAGAGGTGCGTCTTATGCACACGCTTTGCAAATGTCAGTCAGCGCGATCGCTTTGTTTTCATCAGCATGGGTTTGAAAATCATATTTCACTGGTTTGGACTCGTGTCATCAAGAATTCGATATGAATTTGCAACAATAGACCTACAACTTGTGGTGAGAAGCAGCAGCAGATGTCCAGATTACAAATATACCTGTGCTACATATGACTGCTTTTGTGCTCCAGGGTCACAAATGGAGGTTGATTAATTGCAACTGAAGATTGATAAATGTGATCCTGGAGCACAAAAGCAGTCTTAAGTCGCTGGGGTATATTTGTAGCAATAGCCAACAATACATTGTATGGGTGAAAATTATTGATTTTTCTTTTATGCCAAAAATCATTAGGATATTAAGTAAAGATCATGTTCCATTAAGATATTTTGTAAATTTCCTACCGTAAACATATCAAAACTTAATTTTTGATTAGTAATATGCATTGCTAAGAACTTAATTTGGACAACTTTAAAGGCGATTTTCTCAATATTTTGATTTGTTTTGCACCCTCAGATTCCAGATGTTCAGATAGTTGTATCTCGGCCAAATATTGTCCTATTCCTAACAGACCATACATCAATGGAAAGCTTATTTATTCAGCCTTCAGATGAGGCATAAATCTCAGTTTCGTAAAAATTGACCCTTATGACTGGTTTTGTGGTCCAGGGTCACAAATGTGCACATTGTTTGTTTATTTTGAGCATGTGTGCTGCATCCTTCTCAGATGAGCTTTGTGCAATGGTGGCCATAGCAGACACGGTGAAGCCTGAGGCTGAGCTGGCCGTCCACATTCTCACAGCAATGGGGCTGGAGGTCGTGCTGATGACGGGAGACAACAGCAAAACAGCCCGAGCCATCGCTGCCCAGGTACAGCACCCTTTGACATTCCCTTCAGTGATGATTGTTCTCTTGGCGCGGTGATTGTTTAGCAGCTGAGGTTGTGGGGTTTTTCCAGGTGGGCATCAGGAAGGTGTTTGCAGAGGTCTTGCCATCTCACAAGGTGGCGAAAGTGGAGCAGCTCCAGCTAGCGGGAAAACGCATCGCAATGGTGGGCGATGGAGTGAACGACTCGCCGGCGCTGGCTATGGCAGATGTGGGCATCGCTATAGGCACGGGCACGGATGTAGCCATCGAGGCAGCCGACGTGGTGCTCATCAGGGTATGAAGACTAGGGCTGGGAAAATGAATCGATGCATTGCATTGCGAATCGAGAAATTATCAATTCTGAGATTTTCCGAATGCTAGGGATTCAGACAACATACAGAACTACCAAATTTTTCTGTAAGTTTGACCGCAACATATAATAATTGCTGTTAATAGTGTTCACCGTCTGTTTGATTACATGACATTAACTAACTGCTTGATTTTTACCGTGCATTTCTGCCATATGGACATCAACTTGAGATAGTCACCACTGATAAGCTATTTCTAAATATAATGTAGAAACTTTAATTTTCTGTAAAGCTGCTTTGCAGTGATTCGCATCGTGAAAACGGCTATACAAATAAACTTGAATTGAATGTAATTATTCACTCAACTCACGATTCGATTCACGATTTGATTTTCTCACGATTATCTCACGAAAAAAACTGAGATTATACAGTAAATGAAAAGGTGTCCTTTTATTAGGCTATTGCCGCACATTTCTTAGTGAAATTGACATATAACAAAACTAAATTGAAATTTTAAAACAAACCCCAAATCAAATAAGTAAGTTACACAGATGAAATAAATCTCTTCATATAAACAAACTAAGGCTTTGTCTGTGCTCTTTCCATTTAAAATTAGAGGCAACCACTGCATTTTAATCACGATCCAAACAAAGATGCTGCATACATGCAACATGAGCAGTTTTTAATCTAAATTAGATTGTATAATTTCGATATTTGAAGCAAAAACAGAATGGTCTGACTTCAGTTTTGTGAAACTATACAACATAAAACACATCTGAACGAAACAGTAGACGAGCTGCATGAGACGCAGATTCACTCTCTGCCAGCAGGTGGCGCTCATGAACAGCAATCATACAGTGTTTACCGCTGTAAACAAAGCAGAGCTGCGCTTATGAACACTACTTCAATATGCATCGTTCATATTCATCGTTCTTTCTCAAGTCAATTCTGACTGCATGCTTTAGAAACAGCCGTACTCTGCTTGTTTCCAAATCCTTACACACACTTGAACCTAAAATAATCATTCATAAAATTCGAAAAGGTTGTAGCGAATTGCAAGGGTGTTCACAGTGGGCTATGTTTACATTAATCTCGCGTCATAAAAGCATTCTGAGCCGAGGTGAAATTACAGTTCTTCAGCGCTCTTCTTCGTGAGCATTTGAGTGTGCGGATAAAAACTAGCCTAGAGCGCCATCTGCTGTTAAAATCTAAGCTCAGAATCGATTGCAGAAAGATCGCAATGCATTCGGAAGATCTCAGAATCGATCCACCAATCGATTCTGCATCGATTTATCGTCGCAGCCCTAATGAAGACTGTAATGGCTGTGTTATGTTGAGACATGTTGTGGTTGAATTAAAAAAATGCTGAATTAATGTTGTCAGTCTTAACCTGCTGATCTGAAGGCTTGCACTTGGATGTTAGAATCTAAAAGTATAAAATCTGCCTGTTTGAGATTTTTAAAAATTAATTTATTTCTTTATTTTTACAAAAGTAGCATTTTTAACAATTTGTAGGGTTAGAAATTTGTATCCTTTTCTTACCCCCTTTTTAACCCAAACACAAAACTGTATGGTTTAGATTAACATGAGATGGCACTTTTTGATTCATCAATTTATTTATTTATTTTTTGTCATAAACAGAATGATCTTCTTGATGTTGTTGGGAGTATCGATCTTTCTAAGAAGACAGTGAAAAGAATCAGAATCAACTTTGTATTTGCACTGATCTACAATCTTGTGGGGATTCCCATTGCTGCAGGTAAAAACAACTAAACCAAATAAGATAAAAAATATTAAATTATATCAGTATTATTGGCACTTTCCACAGACAGGGTACAGAATAGAGCCTGAAATGCTTAAGAAATTAAGTCAACAAATGGTGAGAGAAAACCTTCAGAAAATATTGGTCATGTTGAACTAAATAATAAATTAGCTAATATATTTTCTATTCATCCAACTGTTCGAAAGTTTGGGGTCCGTAAGGTTTTTAATTATGTCTCTTCTGCTCACCAAGGCTGCATTAATTTGATCACAAATACAGCAAAAACAGTGAAATATTATTACAATTTAAAATAACTGTTTTCTACGTGAATATATGTTAAAATGTAATTTATTTCTGTGATCAAAGCTGAATTTTCAGCATCATTACTTTCCTTCAGAAATCATTCTAATATGCTGATTTGCTGCTCAAGAAACATTTCTGATTATTATCATTGCTAAAACTTTTTTTTTTTCGAAGAAAGTTCAAAGGAACAGCATTTATTTGAAAAAGATTTTAGTTACATTATTAAAGTCTTTACTGTCACTTTTGCTCTATTTAATGCATCCTTGCTGAAAATAAGACAGACTGAATTCATTTTTCTCCAATGTTTTACAGTTCTTTTCCCAATAGAATAAAATAGGACACGTCAACGTAAACAATATTGTACAAGTTTTAGTTTGTAGCTACTTTTCTTTGAAGGTCAGTATTAGGGATGTAACGATTCACTCAACTCACGATTCGATTCACAATTTTTTTTTTTACAAAATGAGATTTAAGACAAATTATAAATTAAATGTGTCCTTTTTATTATTGCTTGGACAAAATGCTGCACTTTGTGAAATTGAAATATAGCTATAATAATATACTAATATAGCACTTGCATATTATTGCTCTTTTGTTGGTTTTGATGGCTTCTATTGTCCTCATTTGTAAGTCGCTTTGGATAAAAGTGTTTGCTAAATGACAAAATTTAAATATAATGTAAATGTAAATAACAAAACTAAACAAAAATTTGAAAACAAGCCCCAAATCAAATAAATAACACAAATAAAATAAATCTCTTCATATAAACAAAATAAGGCTTTGTCTGTGCTCTTTCCATTCAAAATTAGAGGCAAACACTGCATTTTAATCATGATCCAAACAAAGAGCAGTTTTTAATCTAAATTGGATTGTATAATTTCGAAATTTGAAGCAAAAACTGAATGGTTTGACTTCAGTTTTGTGAAACTATACATAAAAAATATTTGCATGAAACAGAAACCGCAGACCAGCTGAATGAGACGCAGATTCACTCTCTGCCAGCAGGTGGCGCTTAAAGCATTTCCTTGGTTTCTGCTGTAAACAAAGCAGCGCTGCACTTATGAACTTTAATATGCATTATACAGAGGCAAGATGAATAGAAAAAAATTAGTGATCGACCGATATTGATATTTTATAACCGATACCAATTATTTGCATGTTTATGTGCCCGATAACCAATATGCAGAACCGATATTTATTTACTGTTATAAAGTAAATAAATGACTGAGTAAAGTAAGTCCATACTTCACTTTTGGTTTTTCCTCCTTTCAGTCATCTTAAAGAAAGTGTTGAAAATTAGCAGTCTTTCATGTTAAATTTAATCTTCATAT